TATAAATAATTTTTTATTAAACGTCGTGTGTATTTAACTTGGCTTATTTAATATTTGTATTATCAGATCATGTCATATATGTGTTTGTATTGAAAAAATAATCAATCCTAACTCTTAATTCCATATACAGGTTAAATTGTGTTATCGTATGGTTTCAAATAATTTTACCCTTAGTTACCCTAAACAAAGTTCTGTACAATTTACAGTTACGAATATTTTTATGTGGGCTAAAAAGGATCCATTTTATCATTAGAGAAACGCGAGTTGTTCTTCGTTTGGGTTTGAATTGGACTAAATAGTTGGTTCAATTCAAGCATTGAGATTATGACATGTTAACATTTTATAATAAACAAAAGTATAGATTTGTTTATCCAACTCACATGTCTAATATTTGAGGGGTTGTCACAAAATATTCACGCGTTGCAAGTCGAGTTTAAACTTATAAAGGAGACAAGCTGAGCTTTTATATCATTAAATTGAAAGAACTTTTGTTTTTTATTAGGATTAGATTAGATGTTTGTACATGCCATTGAGAATATTTTCACCTTATATTTTAATCAAAAAAATCACTTTTCAAAGTAACCCTAATACTCCACATATTTCTTCTAATTAATAGAGCTAGTAATTACACAAGTCCCTCACTTGTAGGAGAGAAAAAATTAATATTTATATAATAAAACAGACCAATTTTTTAAAAATATCTTATATGATAGAGTTGAGAGTCAAATTTAAATAAAAATAGTTAGCTTTGTTTTTCAAATAGTGAAAAGCCTTGGACAATTTCACCCGTTTCTTTAATATTACTATAAAAAATGGTAATAAAATCTTATAAATATTGGATTAAAGTAAAGAAATATTTAAATCAATATTCTTTTTTATCAATCAATAGATTCAATATATTCCCAAGGGCTGCGGATCCCCTGTACCAATTTGCTATCCCAACTTCCTGTCGTGTGCGTTTCTGCCCGCCATGTGACCTAATATTCAAACAAAACTTAACTCTGTCAATTTAACATAAACTCTTTTATATATTTTATAATTAAAATAAATAAAAATCTAAAGACCCTTAGGGTTTGTTTGGTTTGTTTTTGAAAAAAAATTTTGAAAAAAATTCTCAACATGTACCAATTTGCTATCCCAACTTCCTGTCGTGTGCGTTTCTGCTCGCCATGTGACCTAATATTCAAACAAAACTTAACTCTGTTAATTTAACATAAATTCTTTTATATATTTTATAATTAAAATAAATAAAAATCTAAAGACCCTTAGGGTTTGTTTGGTTTGTTTTTGAAAAAAAATTTTGAAAAAAATTCTCAACAAACAAATTTTTAAATGTAATCAAACTAAACTAATATTTTTTTAAAAAATCTCAAAATTTTGTTTAGTTTGCTTCTTTTCAAAATTACTCTCTTCCATACACGTCAAATCAATCACTTTTTTTAAAAATCTCTCATCAAAATAATTTTCCAAAATCATTTCTAAAAAAAAACAATCCAAACAAATTTTCGTATTTTTTATCTTAAAAATTACTCTACGAATACAAACCAAACAAGCCCTTAGTATCTGGGTATTTCGATCATAAAAGGTGAGATTGGGGTATTTCATTATTAAAATAAATAAAAATAATTATAAAAAATTCAAACAACATAATATGGGAAATCAATTGCTTATTTTTTGAGACCATGACTGAATTGGATTTGGAATAGATGAAGATCTAAAATTGCAAACAAAACAACGCACATAAGAAAATTTAAGAAACTAATTATATCTAACATGTACTGTGGCTCAACGCATGATACTTCGAATTCCATGCTTGCGGAACTTGACGAAGAAGTTGAGGAATTGGGCAGAACTTGACAAAGAAGCATAAAGAAATCCATGCTTGCGGAATCGTTCGCGGCTTGTGTAACAAACCCAATACAGAGCCTCTTAGCACGAGTTCGCCTCTGCAACTTGCGAGTGCAGTGTTGAATTGGGAACGTTTTCTCTGTTTCTTTGACTATTTTCTCCTTCTATATTGTCAAATATGTAGGGTGTTCTTCTTGGAAATCTAAAAGGTGCAGCAGAGAGAGTAGTGGAAAGAATAGGCCCACTAGGATTCTTTAGATTTTTATTTTATTTTAATTATAAAATATATAAAAGAGTTTGTCTCCGTTTAGAAAGTGGGTTGATTTTTTGATTTTTTTAACTATTTTAATCTGGGCTAAAAAATTTGGTTTGATAAAGACTTTTTGACTTTTTAAACTTTTTTTGTGAAAAAAAAATGTAATGATTATAAATTAGATGTGATATTTTATTTTTTGTGACTAAAATAAACTATTTTATCTTTTATGACTAAAATAGCCACCTTACCCTTCCCAAACAATGCCTTTGTCAAGTTAACATAGTGAAGTTTTGTTTGAATATTAGGCCATGTAGCGAGCAGAGACGCACGGGACAAGAAGTCGAGACAGGAAATTGGTACAGGGATTCCGTAGCCATTGCAAAGTTTACACCGGGTTCAACCTCTCTATTTACTCTGATTGTATTTCAAGTAATTTTTTAACCATTGATATTTGGAAAAATTAGTGAAATATCATTCTTTAACTTTTGATAGTAAGAGATATTCAATATATTTTTTTGAAAATTTCCTGTAATGAACTAAAATTTCTCTGTAAAATTTTTCTTTAAAGAATTGTAATTTCTCTATAAATACAAATTTTTTTCTGCCAAAATTTCTCTGTGCTAAAATTTCTTTATACCAAAATTTCTCTGTGAAAATATTAAGAGACCCCAACTATAAAAATGTTACATATCTTTTATCTTATAAAATTTTAATACAAGAGACCTTAAACTAAAAAACCCTTGACATTTACATATTATTTTCCTTCTTTAATTGGTGTAAATTAATAAAAAGTCCCCGTACCAGCAATGGGAACTAACCTAGCCAGTACTCAAATGGCATGTTTGATTGGAAGGATTAAAGCATAGGATTGGGATTATTAATCCGTAGGCCCAATCATCCTATGTTTGTTTTGACATTTTAGTTTAGGATTATTAATCCAATGGATAATTAATCCAACAAATTTGTAGGATTATTAGTAATGGGGTAGGGGTGGGATAACTAATACCACACTAATTTAATAGGATTATTAATACCTCACTATTAGTGTTGTGAATCAAACATGGCCTAAATTTAAGAAACTAATTATATCTAACATGTACTGTGGCTCAACGCATGATACTTCGAATTCCATGCTTGCGGAACTTGACGAAGAAGTTGAGGAATTGGGCAGAACTTGACAAAGAAGCATAAAGAAATCCATGCTTGCGGAATCGTTCGCGGCTTGTGTAACAAACCCAATACAGAGCCTCTTAGCACGAGTTCGCCTCTGCAACTTGCGAGTGCAGTGTTGAATTGGGAACGTTTTCTCTGTTTCTTTGACTATTTTCTCCTTCTATATTGTCAAGAAAAATGCTTGGGAGCATTAATTAGTGCTCCCACTAATTAGGTGGCAGTGGGTCCCGTCATTAATGATGTGATGTTTTAGTCTTGGAGTTGTATTTTTTTTTTTACTTTTTTAATGCATTAGTGTTATTAGTGGTAATATTTTTAGTGGGATGAATCATTGTTGATATTGTCAAATATGTGGAGTGGTCTTCTTGGAAATCTAAATGGTGCAGCAGAGAGAGTAGTAGAAAGAATAGGCCCACTAGGATTCTTTAGATTTTTATTTTATTTTAATTATAAAATATATAAGAGAGTTTGCGAGTTGATTTTTTTGACTTTTTTTTATTATTTTAATTTGGTCTAAAAAACTTGATTTGCTAAGGATTTTTTGATTTTTTTAATTTTTTTTTAAGAAAAAAATGTAATGATTATGAGTTGAATGTAATATTTTATTTTTTTAACTAAAATAACTTTTTTTTATCTTTTATGACTAAATGAGCCACCTTACCCTCCCCAAACAATGCCTTTGTCAAGTTAACATCGTTAAGTTTTGTTTGAATATTAGGCCATGTAGCAAGCAGAGACGCACGGGACAAGAAGTCGAGACAGGAAATTGGTACAGGGAATCCGTAGCCATTGCAAAGTTTACACCGGGTTCAACCTCTCTATTTACTCTGATTGTATTTCAAGTAATTTTTTAACCATTGATATTTGGAAAAATTAGTGAAATATCATTCTTCAACTTTTGATAGTAAGAGATATTGAATATATTTTTTTGAAAATTTTCTGTGATGAAATAAAATTTCTCTGTAAAATTTTTCTTTGAAGAATTGTACTCTCTCTATAAATACAAATTTTTTTGTGCCAAAATTTCTCTGTGCTGAAATTTGTTTATACCGAAATTTTTCTGTGAAAATGTTAAGAAACCCCAACTATAAAAATGTTACATATATTTTATCTTATAAAATTTTAATATAAGAGACCATAAACTAAAAAACCCTTGCCATTTACATATTATTTTCCTTCTTTAATTGGTGTAAATTGATAAAAAGTCCCCGTACCAGCAATGGGAACTAACCTAGCCAGTACTCAAAAAGCTTAAATCAATATCGATATCAATCTCTCTCTTATAGTGATGTATGCTGGAAGGGATTAGAGTTCAATTTGGATTAAACAAGGAGACATGTTAAAAATGAACAATGGTTCAGATTTTGCCCCCCTAACCCCCCAAACCAAAGTTTGTTTGGTTGAATTTACAAATCCAATCCAAAATTTTAAGCATTCATATAGAAGCTTATTGAATTTCATCTTATGGGAGGACAGATAGTCTCTCCAAATTATCTTCCTTCCACTATCCAACAGTATAAATAATTGTTCAAATCGTATCACACCTTTTATCTCAATCTAACCCAAAAATCTCACTATATATATATATATATATCATGCAACAATTTCATATTACTGAAAAAAAAAAAAAAAAACATGTAGAAGTTTATGGAATTACTTATCTCCTCTATCCCCAAATCCAATCCCCCAAACAAGCATGGTAATAATGATGAACATCAGTATCTTATAGCAAGGGAGAACAAACCAAACACTTCAATACAGCCTAACCAGCAATAGTTAGTTACTTGCAGTGCTCTTTCTTTAAAGCAAAGTAACATTTTCTGTATCCACCATCAACAACATAGATAAACTGTAGTTCTTCACACCAACACATTTAAATTGAATGGGCATGGCAGGGACTCAATTTCCCATTATAATACGTAGCCATGAAGTGCATGTTCACAAGGAGACAACTACTAAGATAAAATAAAATAAAACCACCCAGAAATGCTGGGAAAAAATGGATAAACAATATACACGCATTGGCGTGTGAAAATGTATGTATACATGCATATATATATAGCCCTACCTCACAAAACAATGGCACAAGTTTTAGGACTTCCGAGATAACAGGGGCTCCAGTTGAGGGTCTGCATCTTTGGAGATCCGAGAATGTCTTTCACCCGACTCCAAGTCAGCAGTTGGGAATTCCTCAGTTCTCTGTTTCGACAACCTCTGAAAGAAAGTGGATTTATCTTCAGATAATGGTTTTGGTGCCTTAGGTGAGACGTCTAAGCTCTGCACGTGCTGAAGGCAGACTTGAACAGCATCATGCACTCTCACAAAGAACCACTCTTTACCAATAAGTTCAACCACACCAGATCTTGTTAGCGCCAGCAAAACTTCTCTGTTTGGATTGGCAATGGCCATCTGCAATATAAACCAGGGTTACACAGACTAATACCGATTTATGTTCTTGAGGATTTTTTATTCTCTGCATCCAAAATACTGAGATAGAACAAAATACATTAAAAGGAAAAGAAAGAACAAGAAGGCCTTGAGAGATGTAACAGACCATAATAAATATGGAGCAATGATATTCACACTACACTTTAAACCTCTAACCTCTTACACTGAATATCATTACTTTTAAGTATTATAATCCATTCATCAGTAAGGGGGATTTTCAACCTGAATGTCCCTTGACTTGTATTCCTGGTGCAAGTCTTTCAAAGCTTGAACTGCACTCGAGTCTATATATGTAACAGCTGAAAATGCAGGCAAAAACTTACAAAATAAAATTAATGAAATAAAGCAGATTTCAAATATTAAAATACTCATAGCTCATCAGCATCATGTTCTGATCAAATTTAGCAGCAGAAAGGTGGAATGGAAAATAGCTACTCAAAACGACATTATGATGTTTCAGATAGAAGTGATTAATACACATCATTTTTTTTTTTTTTGTTATGTAGGGTATCCCAGGCCAGCTTACGCACCAGACTAAGTCTCCACAACCCAAATAAGCCTTCTGAAATAGGACTTATGCCCTGCGGTCTGTGACCCCAATGTATGCATTGCTGGTTAGGGGATTCGAACTTGAGACCTGGGAGGGAGCAAATCTCCAGACCCCAGTCATCAACCCACTAGGCCAACCACCCTGTGAGACTTGTTTACTATATTATGGATATAAAACAATGGAACAACACCACCACCTTAAGACTACATATAGATTAGAAATTGAAGGGAGACAAATTAAAAAAGGTCTTGAACAATGGAAAAGACTTCAAGGAAATCTTAGAAAAAGTACAAGACAAAATAGAAACCACAAAGAGAATACAAACTTCACTGGGAAAGGAAAACAGAATAGTATGGCAATTGGTGTATAACATCTCTTGCAAAATATTTGATATGTGAAAATGAAAATACTGAATTCAGTATGGGGTCAAATAGAAAGGTACTTGCGGACACCACGAAGAAAACACAAAATGAAAGAAAACTTACGTGCCATCTCTATAATCACAAAATAAACTCTTTCAACTTCTGGTCCGCGATTTGTAGATTTATCAACCTCAAATTCAAATTCCCGTAGCCTGAGAAATGAACACCAGATAATTCAAAATTTCTCCCTTAATTTGGAAACTAGGTAGTGCCAAACAATTGAAAACTAGATTCATTTTTACACTGTACTAATAATTTTCACATAAAGGAATTGACTCACCTGTCTTTTATGTAACTTATATTGGCAAAATAAATTGGTGCATCAATTCGAACAACCACAATCCCATTGTAAGTATATGCTTCTGGATACTGTTGAACATTCCTATAAATAGTGGTGCCTGGAAGACGCCCCAATACAGCTGCAGTATTAAACAAATTCATGAATAAGGAGATAAAACTGCATCGTGAAGTATTTATCCAGGAAGCTGAATATGGATGCACATAAAATATACAACAGGGTGTGTGCTGCCAACTCCTTATTTTGCAATCCAAACACCAAAGCAGATTTTGCCATTTTGCCAACAAGGAACTTCTACCGAATCAACTGGTATGAAGAACAAACATGTGCAGAAGAAGCCAATAAAAAATATGGAATTTACGATGAGATGATGAACACAGGTTGTGTTGTGACCAGCCGTGACGGCAAGTATTATCCGCCCCAGCAAATGTGACACGGGTTCGAGTAACAGGAATCAGTCTCCACAAAAACATTTGGGTAAGGCTGCTTACCTACTAGCTCTCTCAAACCTTGTTGTGAGCGGGAGCCTTGTGCATCAGGTACAAGAGATGATAAAATGAGAAAGAGTCCACAAGTTTGCTTCAAGGGACAATTGCTAATGTAAAGGACTCGCCAAGGACGAAGAAGTTTCAATGTGGGGAAAAGAAACAAAAAAATCACGATTCTGGACAGAATGGAAAGGTAAAGTGAAATTTCTGCAGCTGATCCCGGTCCATTTGGATAAGGCTTTGAGATGATGATGAAGTTAATGAAGATGAATACATTGATGGTGACAATTAAGACAACAACGATGATAAAGATAAATGATTATCCAAAACAGACCAAGGAATCAAAAACACTGGATCAAACCAATTAACTTGCATAATACACTGAGATATTGGAATCCAGAAAAAGATTATGATTAACATGAGACATTCAGGCACATGCATATTATCATGATAGAATAAGCTTACCAACATGTGGATTTGCTGATTCATGGATGACGAAAGCAAGTGAAACACCAACCTACAAATTTAATTTTTGCAACACTTAATAAGCAAAGACTTATCCAGCATTCTAAAGATATTCAAGTGCTACCTACAAATGCAGAACACTTACTTTTTATGCACAATCAGCAGCAAAGAGCAAAGGTCAATTTGTTTTGACAATTACTATAAAATTTGTAAGGACATATGAAAGGATGTAGTGAAGTTGCCACTAATGAAAAGGAGACTCTTCATTATCCTTGACTATCACACAATGCATCAAAAGAAACAATTGAGAAGCTACAAAGATTCTTGGAAATCTAAACAGTAATACAAAGCGTTCAGCTCAACAGCCAAACAAAGTTAGAACAATAAGGTATAAGTTGTCCATACATTTGGCTTGTGCAAACCAACACCTCCAGACACTCAGGCATTAACTTACTAGAATTGCTCAGTTTTCCATGGATAAGAAACAACGGAAAAGATCGCAAATACCATTCTTCATAATTCAAACCTATAAAAAATTTTAAAATAAAATGAAGGGGAGAAAAAAAAAAAGGGAAAAGAGGGAGAGCAAACAGAATGCTTCTAACCCTTGCCAGTTTGAACTATAAAGTATGGGCCTCAACCAATAGTACCATAAATGGCTCAAGGATTATGGTGACCCATAACATAGATAGACAACTATCTTAATTAACCTATCATATCTTCAACTTTTATGCTTCAATTAGTATGGTCAGTTCAGCATGAATAACAATTTTCCATAATATTCACCCAAAAAAAAAAAAACAATTTTCCATAATAAAAACACAACTGATCATTCTGTCACCAGATTTTTATTTTATTTGTTTATTTATTTTTGCATCTCTAAATATTCAAAGGGGTGGCACACGGGTCTCTATCGAGAAATGAATGATGACAATCTTAACACAACAGGTTAGGTCGCATTCTCTCCACCAATAACGAGAGAGAGTTTGGGTCTCCTGACCTTACCTATCAATATATATTTAGTTATCTAAGGGAGGTTATCAATGGTTGGAAAAAGCAATTGGAAGATTGTGATTTTTTTAATCAAGGGAAGAAATTTAGGGGCAGTATAGAGGTGACAGGATAGGAGTCTATACAGGAATGACCATAAAAGGATGAGAGACAAAGTTAAAGATAACCTGGTGTTGGCTTTAATAGCATGCCAACAGATGAGCACATAGATCACCAGTATCAATGAATTCTACAGTCTCTGGCAGTATGAAATCATGAATTTAACATCCATGATAATAGATTAACGGGTCCTTTCATAACCTACAATTTTCAATACCTCATCAACTTGGTGGGGGATTAAAAAGTTGATGTGAATTCAAGTAGAGATAAAGTACTACAACAAAACCTGGTTGAACAACAATCAAAATCAAAGTACTGACTTCTTGTCATGAAATCACTTCAGGGCTATGTTACATAGACTCTACTAAATTTGTGAAGTACCCATGTCGGACACTTGACACTTGGACTGGGGTATGAGATATGTGTCCAACATGTCTAGTCATATATGCACCTACCAAATATGTTTAAATAGAAAAGTTCACAATGAACTACGCATGAAACTCCTATTCTATGCATGAAAAGCTGTGTGTTATTAAGAAGGAAAATATAAAATAAAATAAAATCATTTTACCCTAAATAAATGAAGGAAATTTTTAAAAAATGTAATTTACAACCCATCCTCATGTCCTTGGGCATGAGAATTAGATGAATCTAACACTTAAGACACATATTTACCTGCACCCGGCACCTGCACCAATGTACATAGCTTCTACGCCATAGTTAAATGCTCAACACGTGCTAAAATGCCAATGTCTCCTACAGTGCAAGTGCAAGGTGCAACATAAACTCGAGCTTGAGTGAAGTTAGGGTACATGAATGATAGGCAATTAGGCATGCCGGATGGATATAAAGATACTTAAAAAGAAAATATATATATATATATATATATGGAACATTGATTAATCCTAAACATAGTTCATTCCATTCATTAATTAAAATCCTAAAATTCCTATTGATTTTCAGCTTTAAGCAACCATAAAAACCCACAGAAAATTTTCTTTACAGTGCTCACAGCCTGTCCCTAATCATCCTACATCAGTTTGGTATTAGAGTTCTAGGTTTTGCCATGATTGTGAGAACACTGTTCTCCATTTTCCATTTTCCTTTTCCCTTTAGGATTAGGAATTAGTGTTAGTGTTCTATATCTAATAGAACACTATATCAGTGATGTATTATTTGTTTAGGATTACGATTTAATATTCTATATAAATGAGTGACGTATGTATTTTTTGTTCAATTAAATCTAATATACAGTTTTGTTTAGAAATCTTACATGGTATCAGAGCTAGGTTCGAAACCCTAGCTGCTTCGCTTGTCGCTATCATAGTTCGCTGGTCAAAGGGTCATCGATCTTGAACCCGCCTTGGTTCTTCTGGTTCGTGATCAGCCCTAAGTGGTGACATTCTGGTTTGTCTAGGTCATCACCATCAGCCCTCTCTGGTTCGACTGGTTTGTCACCATCGGAGTCGCGACTTGTCTCTCTCCAGACTCACGAAGGTTCGAAACCCTAGCTCTCTCTGGTTCATCTCGCGAAGGCCTCTCTCTTCCTTGCGATCTCTGTCTGATTCGATTCGCAGCCATCTACTTTGGCTCTCTGGTTTGTCTGCCTCTCTCTTCCTCACGATCTCACAATCTGTGTCTGATTCGTTTCTCAGCCTTAGTCTCTCTCTCTGTGTCTTCAACTTGGCTATTTCTATTTAAAACCCTATTTCAGGATTATTGCACTAAAGCCCCATATTCGTCTGTTTATTACAAATTTTGTTTTATTACAATGTCGGATACTAAAATCCAAGCCATCAAATGTAAACTCACTGGTGGCAATTATGCCTATTGGGCCAGTGTCATGAAAAATTTTCTTCTTGGTCAAAAAAAATGAGGCTATGTTTCTAGTTCTGTTCCTCGTCCATCGGATCCGAAGGCGGAAGGGTATCTGTCTTCCTGTGACACTTGGGATTGTGATAATGCCCAAGTTCTAACCTGGTTTCATAATTCTGTGGATGACCGTATTGGAATGATGTTTTCCAAGTACAGTACTGCCAAGGAAGTGTGGGATTATTTACTCGGTGTTTATCAGCAGTCCAACTTTGTCAAGCGGTATGAGTTGGAAACAACTATTCAGAGTGCTCGTCAGCGGGATCAGACTATTTAGGACTTTTATATTGAGATGACAGGTGTTTGGGATTAGTTGGCTCTTATGGAACCACCTAGTCTCAAGATACTAGACGCTTATATTGAGTTTCAGGAGCAGGGTCGTTTAGTCTAGTTCTTAACAGCTCTTTCCCCTCAGTATGAGGCTATTCGAGGTGGCATTCTTCACCGATCTCCTCTTCCCTCTGTGGATGCTATTGTTCATGAACTCCTCTCTAAGGAAACCCGTCTTAAGACGGCCAGTCAGACTTCGCCTCCTTCTGTGTTCTTGGCCTCTACCAAGCCGCCCTTGTTATCGATCCCACCTCCTCATTAGCTTTAGGCCACTGCGAAACCCAAGAAAGGACCATTAGGGCCAGATGAGTGTGCTTTCTGCCATCAGAGGGGTCATTGGAAGCACAATTGTCCCAAAAAGGGACGTTAGCCAGCTCTGTCTTCTCAGACACAGTTCCGCGGTCCTACTTCGAGTACTTTCCGACCTCCTGCTGCTTACACTGCATCTACTCTGGCTCCTGATGCTGACTTGGCATCCCTGAGTGCTCAGGTTACACAATTTCAGCATATCCTGTCCACCTCTCAGTCATCCCCATCTGCCTCCGCTCTTACCTCTCTTCATTCAGGTTTGCTTGGGTCCTTTTCAGGTATCCCTTCTTCTGTCTGAATTTTTGATTCTGGTGCCTCTCATCATATGACTCCTCATATTTCCTTACTTCAAAATTGTATTCCCCCATCCATTCCTATTACTATTAATACTGTTAATGGATCTGGTAAAGGTTTTAAAAAACATCCACAACCGTTACGTGACGCCGTTACGTAACGGTTGTGGTGGTTACTACCACCCGTTACGACTGCTTTTGCAGTGTGATTGAGATTCACAGGTGTGTCGGCCGTAACAGCTGCCGTAGCGGTCGTAACGGCGCCGTAACAGCCGTAACGGCTTGTTACACACCGTTACGTAACGGTTCCGAACTGCTTCTTTCGAAAAAATACACACAAAAAAAAAAGAGCTGAAAATGGCGAAAGAGGAATAGAGAGAAGATAGAAGATAAAAAGAGAAGATGAAGGAGCAAGAGATAGAGAGAGAGAAGAAGAAAGATGAACATGTTATTGATTTGTTGAAACTGTAAGACCTATGCTATTCTATTCAACTGCTATCACTCAACCATTTTGTTTGTGTGTGTCCATCTATATATTGTTTAATAATAATAATAATAATAATAA